AATGCATACTCACTAGCCATATGCAAGCTTGAATACAAAAATAACCTATAGAAATCTACCATCTAACCACAGTGTCATAAAACAGGTCATACAGGTTCCAGTCGGTTTTAGCACTAGAAAACAAGCCATGACATCCTGCTGCTTGGAATATATACAGACACCAAGAATGCCAAAAAAGACAATGATAAGACTTAGGATCCTAACGGCCTCATATGAAATCTACCTCTTCTCAAAAACTCCAGTTTTATGGGAGATCTAGGAGATTTAAGTCACATGAACCAGTCGCAAAATGTAAAAGGCCGGATACATACTGAAAGATCTTTGATCGTTATTACCAACGGCTACCAGAGATTGAACCTCGCAGGTGACCAATGAGGAGTGATGAAGTTGAATAGTCATGAAAGAAAATGCAGGGGCAGACCCTGGAAGAAGAAATTCGGAAACAATCACCAAGGTAATCATTCCATTGGGAGGAGCAATCCATTATAAAGTAACCAAGAGAAACCCCTGCAAACATATTTGAAGAGTGGTTAAAAATGGTCACTGGAAGACTATGGTCATCAATCTGGCTCATTAATGGCTACCAGAAAACTTGATAGGACCACATGGAAACTGAAGAATATTACTGGATGACTAACCTTCTGAGGACTAAGCATGGTTAAAGATATCAAATTATGGAACACAACCCCTATAAGGTATACAAGCCCCTAGAATCGAACAATCTCAATAGCTCCTTGAATATAAATAGAAGTCCCCTGGTGGATCCTAGGAACATCAGGAGTGCCCAGGCATAGCAGGGCAGCTGACAGGATGATATCCATATTGGGTAAAATCTAAGGATGTTTGAATAGCTTAGGATAGTATAGATTAGTTATAAGAATTGCTCTTGTAAAAATAATTCTGTATGACTTTTTCATAACTAATCAATAAAGCTCAGTCAGTATGACTAATTAAAAAAAAAATAAAAAAAAAAAAGATACTAAAGAAACATGAAACTAGAAAATACTATAGCTTATGTAGAATATGAATAAGGAATCAATTTTAGAATTGTATCTATCAATAGTCAAGATAATACAAGATAAGGAAATAGAACAGCTTATAAGACCTTGGAAGATGAATTGAATAAAATGGAAATCCAAATATCCCTTAATAAAACATTATCATGACAAATGACAGAAGTTATGGGTTGTTATAAAAAACAAAAAAAATCAAGTTATCTGGAGAAAGTTAATGAGAGAAAGTATAATGGATAATTTAGAAATAAAACATTTCAGCTGTTTAGTAGCTAAAGAATATCAACAAGCAACAAGTCTAATAAAAGGTCTTGGGTGTCTAGAAGGTATTAAAAAAAATAACCATTGTATAATAGTAGAAAAAAGGAATAAAGTACATATAGTTCCATATCTCAACACTAGAAAATTCATTAGAAGAGCCCAGATACTAATGATTATAAGGACAAGACAACTATGAAAAAAGAAATACTTAAGATAGTAACAGGAGATCGAGGACAAATTCAAGTAACCAAAGTAGTAAATATAAAGATAGAAAGTTGGGAAGAAAAAATTATTAGAGACAATGTAAAAGAAGGTACATATCAGTTTCACTTGCTAGAAATACTTCAATGAAATTAGAAGTTAAATAAAGTAATAATCTTCTATTCTGACGGATTATTGGCTGATCATGGAAGAGAAGAAATGAAAATGGAAGTAGCATGGATTTAAATAGAAGAAATAGGAAAGGAAAGCAAATTCTAAAAGGGGTAAAAAAACTGGCTATCATCAATAAAAGCAGAAGTGATAGCAATAGTTACTATATTGGTAATTATTCCTATTGAAAGCAGAGTCAATATATATATGAACAGCCAAGCCTGTATCTTTAAATGGAAGGAACTGAAGGAGAAAGATCTTAGAAAGATACATAAAAGGTGATTGAAAGAGAAAAGCTGGTCTCTATGAATATGAATGTTAGATCTTATAGAAAAAAATACTTGAACTTAGAGCTTATCAAGGTTAAAACTCACTTTGGTAATAAATACAATGAAGAAGCAGATGCCATGGCTAAAGAAGCACTCCAACTTCCTGTAATAGAATAGAAGAATCTTATATCATCCAAAATCATTACAAAAATTAAATGGCAAAATATAACACTAGATACTCCAATAAGACAATTTATCAAAAAAGTAAATGGCAAGACAACAGCCTATCAATGAATACAACAGAATTGAACTTAGAAAAATGGATTCAGCAAATACAAGATCAACATAAATATACATGGAACTTTATATAGAATAGAATAAAGAATGGGCATACATAGGACACTTTCTTTAAAGACTCTTACAAAAAAAAAGCTTTTTTATGAAATTGACAAATGATGAGTTACCGACTTTAGCAAAACTAGCAATAAGAAGGCTAGACCTTTATAAACAAGTGATATATATAGAGTGCAACAAAGATACAGAAATGATGAACCACTTACTAGAATGTCCAGAATATAGAAAACAATTACAAGAAGCATGGATGAAAGGATTAGAAGAGGTATTAAAGGAATTTAAGAAACTTTTGCAAGAAAGAAAAGAAGAAATAGAAGGAAAAGACATATAGCTAATTACAAATGATAGAGAGGAAAGGAGAAAACTAGATAAGTTAATCTTCAAACTTATAGAAAAAGTCTTCAAAAGTGATTATGGAATGCTAAGCTTTCATACAAGACTTATGAGAAATGATTGGCTTATTGCAATGGTTATTCTCAAATGTTGTGATAAAAGAATAGAATAAAAAACTTGTAGATAAATTACAAAATTGCAAAAGAAGGTTTGTAATCACATCTGAAAAGAGATCTGAAATAAAAGATGTACAAGAGTAACTGAATGGGAATGGGCACAGGGAATTAATAGAAAGAATAAAGTAAAAAGATCAAGCTTAAAAGGCCAGAAGATCAAAATCAAAATCAAGAAACTATCAATTCCTGAAAAAGAAAGATTGAATAACAAGAATCTGAAACAGATATTGACAAAAGGAATTGAATATGGAATGAACTGGTTGGGTTTTGATCTCTGTCAGAGCTTTGCAAAGTGATTTGCAGTAGTAACCTGTAAGCAATGATACTAATAGTTGGAAGGATATTCACCTGAACTGTTAGTGGAGTGATAAATTACTCCCAAAGTTGCACTTAGAATAACAATGGTCAAAATAAGTGAGTTAGTTAGAGATTTAGCTTTAGCATTATATTGATATATAAAATTTTACAAAATGTTTAATAAAGCATACATAATTAGCCTGACAGAGGAAAAAAAAAAAAAAGACACTTATACAATAATAACACATATTAAATTTTTTATATATCATGTGACAACATGTCAATGAAAGAATAAATAATAATCAGGATCTTAGAGAAAAGGAAAAAGAAGCTATTGAAAGTATTAGAAAAGATAGCTTTTTATCAAGATCTTCAGCAAGTACTCTGGAAAACAAGAATGATATAGCATAAACTGAGATCCATAGCAACTAATCAATTCACATTACTGCTAAGTCAATACATATTCTTTCGATACTAAATAATATTATTGCCAATCTACTGAGAATAGAACCATTGGTAATGGCAAAAGAACATATGTTGTGGCAATATATCATTACTCTCTGGAAAAAAGGACAAGATAAAAAGAAAGATTTGGAAGCACCTATGTTAAAAGAAAAGATGTATAATATATTGATAAGCAAGCCAGTAATATAGGCATCAAGCTTTAACCAAGTTGAAGTTTCTATAATAAAAAGTACCCCAATGGAAGTTCAATCAACTTTGATAAAACTTAAAGAAACGCATTTCATTAAGGAAGTCATAATAGAGGATAAAAAACAAATAGAAACAGAAGTGTTAAAAGAAATAGTCAGGGAAGCTGTATTATAGACAGCATATCTTATAATACAAAAAATGGGATTCAAGGGACAACAGTAAATCCATTCTTCATAAAACAACAGTGATCAATCAAGATGGGATACTCCAAGCCATATTGCCAGAAGAAAATAGAGAAAAGGGAATTATGTATCTCAAAGGAGCTCTAAAAATATCTAAGTGAATGAATTCCTTTAAAACAAAATTTATCAATGGCAACTATTGAATTACATTTGGCTTTAATAAAGAAGAAAATGTAGCAAGATGTTTGAAGACTGTTAACAAAAAAGAAGCTGAGAACTTTACACTTAGAAGAATAGACAAAGATATGAACATATGATCAGCCTTTCAAAGATATGCTCAGAACAAAAAGTTCTTCAAGCCAGAAAGCTTTCCATTAGCTAAAAATAGATCAAAATATATCATATGGATAGATACAGATTATAAGCTTGACAAATATGTAATTAGATAAACAATAAAAGAATTTGAAGAGATTATTAATATTCATGAATATAAAATATCTTTTCATCAAAAATGGTTTAAAGTTTACCTTTATGCTTATCAAGAATATATCAACTTGAATAAGAAATGGATGATTAAGATAAAATTCAATTAAGTATGGTCTGTGATAGCCTACAAGAAATAAGATAATCAAGAAATTACTCAGATTCTAAAAAAGAGAAAGAGATACTTCTTAAGAATTTATAAAGTTGATGGATTATTTATAAAATCTATAAAAGAAGCCTTAAACTATACAAAGGTTAAGACCTTTTATATACCAAAAAAAACAAGATTACCTTGGTATCAGAAAACTATGCAGTAGTATACTTTGAGAATGAAAAAGATTTAAGAAAGGTACTCCAGCACCAAATAATGATTGACAATCAAGAGCTAGGTTAAAGTGCAAAGAATCATTATTATCACAAAGCATCAATTGATCTGACTAGGTCAGACAATACACATATAATGATAAAAAAGCAAGAGAGCAAGATTGCAAAAGCTAAGTTAGAGCAAGTAGAGATAGAAAAAGTCATGAAGATATTATGGTAACCAATAAAAAAAGTTATATCAGTAGTAAGACTTAGAAAAAACAATAATTGGTTAGAAAACAGGAGAAGTACAATAAGATCATACCATCAATAACCGATAGCAATAGGAAGCTACTAGGTAGGCAGAGACATCAGGAAGCAAATCAAGTTCCATACCAGGCTTTACAATATTTCTCAGAAATAGATGATGAAACTTTGGATACTAGGTGATATTAAATGCAAACAAAAAGATGGAAAACAAGAAACCTAAGATCAACTATAAAGCAAGAATCAGAAGTAACCTAGCTAAGCAAAATATTAGAGAAGCTTAGCAAATGACTAGACAAACTAGAGAAAAGTCCACTCAAAAGGAGAGTCAACTGCTCCTAAAAAGAGCATACCAGTCCATCCATAAAAAGGGAAAAAATGTCAGCCCACTATTTTCAAGTCAAAAATGCAAAACAAGGACAAAGCATGATAAATAAAAAAGAATAATAGTAGGTGGCAGTAAAGCGATTAAGATCTTGATACTTTCTTACAAATAGAAAAAGATAAATTTCTAGAAAAAAATGGAGAGGATCAACAGATAGAAAAAACAAAAGAGGAAAATATACAGAAAGCATAATTAGAATAGGAATACACAATATTAGAGGCATTACTGATAGTACAAACCAGTATAATCTTATAGAAGAAATACAAGAACAAGGTATTGGAATAATGGGGCTATGCAAAATAAAACTAATCAATACAAAGGCAAAATAGGCCTTCTGGAAGCAAACGACCTTCAAGCATTTTTATAGTACCAATAAAGACACTCTATATAGTACAGGAGTTAGTCTCTTGATAAGAAAAGATCTGGAAAGAAAAGTGGCTTTAGTAGAAAAGGCAGAAGGATACATTATAGCAGTTAATATGCTTATTAAATGAAAAAAATATGTATTATTCAGATCTATATTCCTTTAGACAAACAACAAAGCATAAAGATGCAGAAGAGAGTATAAAGCTTTATTAAAGAAAAGAATAAACAAGACTTTCATAGAATAGTAATGAGAGACTTTAATGTTATATATAACCTTACAAAAGATTGGGTATTAATATCTAGAACTAAATTTAAACCATCTTGATGCCAAAAATACCATTATTCAACTTTTCAAATGAATGGTCCTTTCTTGATATACAGGCTATATAGAAAGGAAAAGATAAAACTCAAATAAGATGAAATACTACTAGCAGTAGTCGAATTGATATATATAAATATCTCAAGCCTTACAAACTATCCAATACTTAGATTCGATACCCAAAGTATGGAAGAAATGCTAGAAAATTATTATACTATGCTAGTGTAACAATGCATGATACCAATCTTTTCACAAGAGATATTAAAAACAAGTCTCCCCAAAGAGTGAATAAAGAATTAATATAAAGTGATCAATATCTAAGCAATGGAAGGCGTTAAATAAAAGCCTAAATCACAAATTTAGAACAGTAATAGATCCATTGTTTAAAGAGGAATTCAAAAATGATAAAAGAGAAGCTCAAACAAATAAGATCTAGAAGACATTCGAAGAATAGATATGTAGGGCAGCATATAACAAGCTTATGACCAAGAAGCTATCTGCTTCTCAAGAAAAACATCATAGGAATGGGACAGAATTTATCAAGTATTAGAGGGCCCTTTAATTATTTGCACTCTTTAAGAAGGCAAAAAGTATACATGATTCAATCAAATTGCAAGCTCTTAGCATGGTGATTAGGAAACACAACATTACTTTCAGTTCTAATCATCAAATTAAAAACTATTGCATCCAATATAGCATTTCCAAATTTCATAAAAACTATTAAAAAAGGATATACAGGATACCATACAAGACCTAAAACTTATTTATTAGAATACAAAGGCAAAAAAAAACAAGAAATGATATCAAAAAAGCCTTGAAATAGAGATGTGATAACTTACGTAACAATAAAAAAAGAATAGTAAACTTTTTGACTGACAAAGAGTGAGTTAAAATAACACTGGATAGGATCAAGGTTAAAGATGGTAAAAAGGAATATATAATTACTAAGAAGAAAGAACTCAAAAAAGAAATAAGAAGATAATATAATGAGGTATTTAAAAAATAAAATATCAATTTTGACAGCCTTATAGAAGATTGAAAAAAAGAATACAATCCTAAAGACTATATTAATAAAAAGTGGTATAAAGATTTACTGGAACCAATTTTCCAAGAAGAACTATATGAAACACTTTAAGGACTTTCCAATAATAAAGCCTTAAAGAGATCACAAATCAATTATGAAATGCTAAAAAGACTAGGTCAAGAAGGAAAAGAATATCTTAGAAAAATGCTTAACTGTTTTCTAAGGTGGGAAGTTATATCAATAGGATGGAAGCAAAGTTATATATATTCTATAGCAAAGTCGAAACCATGGGAATGTAAACTTCTCACTACTATATCAATAGTATTGCTAAAGATTACACAAAAATACTTCACCAAAATCCTTATAAACAGATTGAAAAATATTTGCAAGACTAATAATATCTTGAGAGACAGAATTACTAGGAGAAAGTATAGCAAAACTAAATCCAATTCTAAATAACATTTGTAAAGAAGCAAAAAAAAATAAAAAGAAGTTATGGATACTTTTCCAAGATATAGTAAAAGCATATGATACTATTAGTCTGAATATATTAATCAAGGCAATTAATAGAATCAAAATATCAGAAGGCTTTATCTAATCATAATAAGTCTATTTTGAAATCAAGAATTTAAGGTTATATTTGAGAAAGATCTAACTGAAGTAATTACAGCAAGAGATGGAATTGATCAAGAAAAAACTATTTCATCACTAATATGAAGGATATTTTATAACTCTTTATTGTGCAAGATTCAAAATAATGAAACAAAAGGCTACAAAATGTTTGTGGCTTGGGATTCAGAATTAAAAGAAAATATTGAAAGAAAGCTAGAGTTAAGGTATGTAGCTATCACATTCATGAATGATACAACATGAATAGCAAGATCCAAAGAGAATATGAAAAAGATTCTAGAAGAAGCAAAAATCTTTTATAGGGCAAATGATTTACAAATTAATAATAGCAAATTAGTATTAATTACTATTAACAACCCCAATCAATATCCAGAAGAGGTCTAAGCAGGGGTCGATAGAGAAATAGTTAAAGAATTGGATAGAGCTGAACAAACAAGATTTCTAGGGATCTGGACAGGTAATTAGAAATCTGCTATCAAGCTCAAAGAACAAATTCAATATAGTTACCAAGTTCCTAAAGAATAAAAAGTTAACTGACAAACAAGTATTTTATATTTTGAACAGAGTCTTAATACCTAGAATTAAATTCAAAATACAGTATAGTGTATTATTCTGGTAAATATGTAATGTCCTGACAATGATATATAGAAAGCTATTAAAAAATAAGGCTACTTTATATTAATCTATATCCAATAGTATAGTACATAATCTCAGGATTTACAATTTAAAGAGTGTTTGGATATTGCAAAAAGAAAGTCAGATAATAGTATTGTGCAATAGATTAAATAACTTAAGATTAGCTGGAATCACAACAATCATCAGGTTAAAACAATCATGGATTAAGTACTGGGAACTTCTCAACCTGCTTATATATAAAATATGGAGGTAACTTTTCATAACTGGAAATGGAATAATATCTTTAATTGGAGTACCAGAAATAATTCAATTAAAAATTATTTGCCAACAAATTAATACAGTAAAGCTATTTCATTGCTCAAACACAATAAGTTAATGTATATGGATTAGATTATCAACTATGAAACTAGAGAAGTATTGGATTAGTGAATGCTCCAACTCTTACAAAAGACAAGTAAGGGATCTATTCTAGAATAGTACTTGTCAATAATAAGGGAGATGTGAGAAAACAAGCTAGGACAGCTTACAAGAACTTGAAAAGAAGATTGATTAAAGTGAAATCCAGAATATTCAGTACTCAATCTTAATCTTGATAAAAGATAAAAACTTTGGGTGGTCACCAAGAGCAATAATCAGCAACAACAACTTGTTTTAAAAAAGTTGATTCTATGTAACAATAAAAGATGCATTAAAATAGATTATTTCAAATATGACAGCTTCAAGAAAAACTTAAGATCAAATCTAATATGATATCAGGGCTATCCCGAAGGAATCAAGATTGAAAACTGATGTATAGTAGAATTAAACATAGAACAAATATATATAGTTCTTATCTTAATATTAGAAAATCTACAAGAAGAGCTCAACTTTTAGAAATGCCTTGTTCCAAGATAGCTCTAGAAGGATTAATAAGTAGAACAATTCATATAGACTCTGTGACTACACAATGTAATAGAAGGCAACTGGAAGAAATAAAGATAGAGAACTGGGAGGAGAAGCTTATTAAAGAAAATATTAAAGAAGGCACTTATAAAACCCATCTAATTGAAATACTCAGGCATAACAAGAGAATAATAGCAATAACACAATGACCTTTTACTTTGATAGATTCCTTGTTAATCATGGAAATGAAAATATGAAAATGAATACAGCATAGATACAAATTGGAGAAACAGGAAGAAAAAGCAAGTTTCAAGCAGGGGTAGCTAATTGGCCCTCATTCATAAGAGTTGAACTAATAGCAATAGTCACCATACTACTAGTAGTATCAGTTAACAACAAGGTCAAGATCCACACTAATATTCAAGTCTGCATCTCCAAATGGAAAACTATAAAAAAGGAGGATCACAAAAAAACCTACAAAAGATGGTTAAAAGAACAAAATTGGTCCTTGTGGACATGAATGTTAAGCCTGATAAAGAAAAAAGAATTAGATATAAATCTTATCAAGATTAAAGTACACTCCAATATTCAATAAAATAAGGAAGCAGACATTCTAGCCAAAGAAGTGTTAAAGTTCCCAACAATAGAATGGCAAGATCTGGACTTACCTAAGATTATTATTAAAATCAAATGGCAAGATATAGTACTGAATACTCCAATAAGACAGTTTGTTAAAAAAACAAATGCCAAAATAATAATACATCAATAGACAATCCAAAATAGAATAGACAAAAAGTGGGATCATCAAATCCAAGATCAGCACAGGTATACATAGAACCTAGTTTGGAAACAAATAAATAATAAGCATATATAGAATATCTTCTTTAAAGGATCATAAAGAAAAAGCTTTTTTGTTAAGATGACTAGTGACAAACTACCCATGTTAATAAAGCTAGTCACAAGAAGACTAAACTTATATAAGCAAGTAAAATGTCTCACATGTAGATAGCAAGATGAGACAATAGAACACTTGCTAGAATGTCTAGCATATAAAACTCAGTAGTAAGAAACTTGGCAGAAGAATATAGAAGATATGATGCAAGGTTTCAACAAACTTCTGGCAGATATAAAAAAAAAATTAGAAGAAAAAGTGACAAGCCTAGTAGTTGATAACACAATGGAAAGAGAGGAAATAGATAAAAAAATAGCTCAACTAATGGAAAAGATCTCAAATACTGGTTGAAATATACTTAACTTCTGCATGGGACTAATTGAAAAAGATTTAATGAATGAGATAGCAAACTCAAAGTGTTATGGAAAGAAAATCGATAAAAAAGCAAGAAAGTGGATAATAAAGATATAAAAGAAAACACGTAATCACTTCAGAAAGAAAATTTTGAATATTAGATGCAAAAAGATGATAGAGTGGGAATGGATATTGAGAATAAATAGAAATGACAAGATCAAAAGGTTGACATATTTACAGAAACAAAAAAACAAGGCCAAGATACCAGGAAATTAGTTATATCAAGTACTATTAAAGGAAGAAGAATTAGAAAATACGATGCTCAAACAGGTCCTGTGAGATGGAATAAAATGGTTAGGTTTTAATTTCTATCAAAACTCAAAAGAATGATCTGCAATAGTAATCTGTAGGCAATAATGTTAGAAGTTGAAAAGGTATTTACCTAAACTCTTAACAGAACAATAAATTACTCTTGAAGTTGTACTTAAAAAGGTAAAACAATCAAAATAAGTGAGTTAATTAAAGAATTAGCTTTAATATCTCATATTATATATACAGCTTACAAATGTTTAATAAAGTATATGTAACTAGTCTAACAGAGAACAAAAAAAAAAAAAAATTTTTTTATTAATATGAGCTATATAATATAATTTTATTGATTATTAAAATTTTTATTAATATTATTTTAAATTATAAATTTATTAAACAAAAATAAATAAATTTATAAAATAAAAAAAATTTTCTTAATTTATTATTATATTATTATAACTTGTTTTTTTCTTTTTTTAAACCTATGGTCAGACCAGCATTATATATTTATTAATCTTAAAGAAAATCAATATAGATATATTAGGCAATTATATTATTGCTAAACTAAATTTTATATTGACTCACTTGTTAACAACTTTCAATTCTCAAATAAGCTTCAACCTCTAAGTGTGATCTTGGGGACAATAAATTTGCTCTGGAATAAGTTTTAAGAAAAAACCCTTTTAATTTATATATTATTGTCAGTAGATTATTATTACATATTATCTTCTAAGAAACTGATTTAAAGAAACTATAATGAGAAAAAAAAATAAAAAAAAGAAAAATATCTAAAAATGCACAAATGTGTGACATAAAGAGAAAAATAAAAAAATAAAATAAAAATGTTTCATATCCTCTAAAAGATTTTTACTAAAAACTTTTTCTTATTAGAAATCAACTTTTTTGAAATATTTTTTTTTTCTAATCATCTGAGATATTTATTTATTTGTAATTTTGATTATTTTCTTATAACTATTTAAGATACTTATTGCCTATTGCCTTGCTTAATACTTCCTTTCTTTCAATCTTGATTTTATATTTATCCATGCAAAACTAGATACTAATGATAGACTTCAAGTTTTTATATAGCTTTTCAATCATATTGTATAACTCCTAATATTTTCCAGAAGTCATGTTTAGTTAAAGAAATTTTACTGATGATCATCTTTTATTATTCCAAAAGTTTGATTTCTCAATAATATTTTTACTTTATAATAATAGGAGGGTTAAACTAGTACTGGAAATTCTCGTTGATTATGATATTATTATACAATATCTAGAAAAATATAATCTCAATTCTATAGAAGAGTAGTGCTTTATATTTATCTGTTTTTAGTCTTATAGTCTAACTGGAATAAGAAAATAATCTCCTTCACATATTTTATGTAACTAGAAGAATAAAAAATTGAAGATCTTGGTTTAAACAAATAACTATCTTTTCATTGTTTAAAAAATTTAATGCTTATTCTAATGGACTCATGATTTCTTTGTTTTGATTACACTTTTTTGAAAAAGTGAAGAAATTCATATCAATGATTTCTCTTTCTTTTATCAATATCATTATCAGAATATGTAATATAATCAATATAAGCTTATTTACATTCTAATATCAACATATTTCATCAATCACTTTTAGCAAAAACTATATTGATTTGTGTTACTCCAAAATTTAGGGTCAAGTTAAAGTAAACAAAATTTTTCAAAAACTCTAAAAAATGAGTGACTTTAAGAGGGTAGAAACAGTGTAGAGAAGTTTTATGGTTTAGGTTTTTGTTTACTCATCTATTCATTGCATAAAACCTCTAGTTATACTCTTGCTTCAGAAAATAGGTTTTCAATATTTTACTATTGATTTTTCTTCCTTTTAAAACTTTCTAGTTATAGATAAAAAAGATATTTTTAGTTTTTTTTGATTATCAAAGTCAAGTTTTTATTTGAAAAAGAATATAAACAAGAGAAAGGAGTTAGAAAGAACTTTTGAAGTTATTTTTTAAATTGTTTTAAGAAAATAATAAAACTTTATTAGCAAACAAGTATAAAACTTTTTTACAAATATCTTTTTTGTATATTGTTAAGGAATTAGTGAAAAGAGTTTTATTATATTATTATAACTTATTTTTATAATATTATTTAGATTTTTATATAATAATTAACTTGCTATTATATATTATTAGCTAAAAAACTATATTATTTAAAAAATATAAAAAGTTTATTAAGTTAGTTTGAATTAAATAAAATAAAGTCTCAATTAGGGACTTTGAATCAGATTTAAAAAATAATATTTTATTTTTCTATAAATTAATATTAACCTTTATCAAAATTATTGTCAATAATTTGTTATTATAAATTATTATAAAAAATGCTAAATTGTTAAATTAAAAACTTTTTATTAATTAAAAATTAACTCAAATAGTTAGTTAATAATTTTTATAAATATTATAATAAAATCAAAAAATTTTATAAATAGTTTTATATAATTCATTTTTAAGAAAGTTTGATAATTTTTTTATAAATTAAAACATATTATAATTAATTTTCAATCCATTATTTAATTAATTATCAATGAAACTTTAATCTTTTTATTATATATTATCAAGATTATGTATTTAAAGTTTTATTTAAATCTTATTGACTTATAATAAAAAATATTAGACCAAAAACTTTCGCATCGAATTGTGATTCAATAATTTAAATATGTATGAATTTTACACACAACATTCTGATTGAAAAAAATATAATCTAACTTAGTTGTATAATATAAAAAATATTAATAAAAAAAAAAAAATTTTTTTTTCCCAGATTTTTATTTTTGTTCTACTACAAGAGAACCATTGGATGAAAATGTATCAATTTAGATATACGAAGTCTATTGAAAAATAGATTCTTAACTGTGGTGAAAACTAGAGTTCAACAAATTGAATAGCGATCGTTGAAAGGATTAAAAAATTAATTCATCTTCATATCTAAATATCTTTCTACAACAATAATGCTTTTATTTAACAACAAACTACTTATTGCAATCATAATTTCATCAGCGAATTCATGCATTTTTTGAAATTCATACTGGTATGAATCAGCAGTATTTTAAATAGCATATGTATAATTAAGAGAATGGTGTGTTTATATAACTCATCTAAAGAAAAATTCGCATTATCTATGGACGTCAAGATACCTTGCAATTATCCGGATTTGTTTTTTGCTGATCGTTGGCACTTGTCGAATAAAATTTGTTGTCGGAAATTGAAGTTGTACTTTTGACAACAACTTGAGAAGTGCTAGCCCTATGATAACCAGATTCTTGCTTGAAACGAGAGGAAGAATTATAAGATGCGTCATTTAGGGTTGCTTTGTTATAGGTGGCATAGCAATCCATTTCCGTTTTGATTACTGACTTTGTGCTTCCAGAAGATGAAGCGATCATATCCCGAGCAGCATTAGGAAATCTATGATAATTTCGCTTTTCTAGGTTGGACTTACGAGCAAAGGATGCTGTACTAAGCGGAGGACTGTGTGATTGGCCTCCAAGATCAATAACGGGACTTGAAGATTTGTCATTATGTATTCTTCTATATGGAAAATCTCTAATATAAGCACTAACATTAGTTTGATGCCTTAATTTTTCAAGGTATGGAATAACATCCTTCAACTCGCTATCATTTCTTGAAAATGCCAGTCTTTCGTTAAATTCTAACAGATGAATAGAATTAAAAGGTTGCAATTGAGCTTTCAGCAAGGAGTCATCTATCAATATAGTGTTTGTCTGATCCCAAACAACAGAGGTATTGGGCGATTCTGATCTAAGCTCTAGGCAAGGTTTGAGAGATGAATCTGAATTTAACTCTTTCCAAACCTTCTCGAGGTCTTTGATCGTCAGGCATTTTTGATGGTATTGTTGAAAACTCAATGAAAACTTATCTCTGGTCCAAACATCAATCAATTTAGTCTCATGATGACCAAATGTTGCCTTTACCATTTTTTTAACATTTTTGGGTTGAGCCGAGGACCACACCATTACAGAAAACCCACCAGAGAATATATAATCCATAAAATCTTTAATATATGGACGTAATATAGCTTTCTCGATGTCGGAACATGTACGAAATATAAGGGTTCCATTAAGATCAAGAACAATCAATTTTGGCAATGATTTCTCAACCTTGATCGAAGGTATCAATGCAGTGTGCATATACTTCATAGAAGGATGATCATTCGCGCCCCTAGTATCACTTTCTAAATTATCTCTATCTCTGAAGTTTCGATTATCATTTTGCGAATAGTTAATCTTGGAGGACATATTATTATTTAATCGGTGATGATTTTGGTTCATTTGAGGATCTTTTCTAATTTTCTTGGACTTTGACTTATTTGATTTTGACCTAATGTGACTCGACGGGTCGGGAGATCGGTAATCTTCGCTATAATAATCTACACCGTCATCCAATGGCCTTTGAATATCCTTATTCTTATATTCCGATGAATAAGGTCTTCTGAAATAATCACGTTCGCCGTTATTCACGTGTTCATTAGGACGTGAACGCTTAAGAGAATAAACTCCTGATCTTGTGGGACGTAATGAAATATTGTCATTACGCAATTGATTATTATAATGACCGGAATCTAATCTCGGTGAAGACGAGCTATCATAATTCTTATAATTCGAAGATGGCACTCCACAATCATCTCTTCTAGAGTTCACTGTAAATTCACCTGATCTCGACGGTTGAATGCGAAGATTTGAACTTTCATTGTAGGACAAGCGGCCTACATGTCGATATAAAGTTCCAACTTCACTGTTCTTAGATGGTTCTGAAAAATAATTTCCATCCAAATGAGCATCATTGACTCGGGCATTAGATGTACCGATTAATGATTTTGGTGCATTATTTCTATAAGTAACATGATTCAAGGAATGCTGTGCAATTTGTCCTGCCTTGCTGGTGCTCACGGATAATTCCCGAGCCGCTTTTTCGAGTGCAGCTTTCCTTTGGCGTCTTCTCTTCCTCTTTGCTGCCTTCGATAACGGCAACGCAACGAAGTTTTTTCCGCCATTGTTATTATTCATTATTAAATATCGAATTTTCACAATTATGTATCTAACTTTTAAGGTTTGAAGAATAAGCTGAGCCTAGTTTATACAAACGGAAAATTTACTGGTTTAAGAGCAGAGTTTTTTTTTTAATAATTTGGTAATGATCCGTAAATATCCAAAAAACATAAACATTAAATATTATATATATACAGTATTATAAAAAATAATTATACTGTATATATATTGCAAATAACCATCAAAAAATATAATTTTTTATAAACTTTTTTGATTAAAAACTTGACTTTTGATAATTAAGAAAAATCAAGTAATATCTTTAATATCAATAACAAAAAAGTTTCTAAAGAAAGAGGAATAATTATAATATATTTAAAAAAATTTTTATCTTTGAAAAGTATTAATAAGATTTATGTAATGAAATGATTTATTTTTTTTTCTTATCAACTATTTTGATTTTCTTAAAATTTTACTTTTATGATTTTTAGTTTACTTATTTTAGTTTGATTCTGAATTTTTGAAAATATTATTTTTATTAAAAATAGTTGATTAATACCAAATATATTAATTTTTAAAAATATAAACAAATTCTTATTAATTTTTTTTTTTTTTTTTTTTAATAGGGGTTACAGAGACCCAGTTTTATTGAGGTTGTAGCAGAAAATTAATGAGATATATTGAAATTACAAACTATAGTAAAGGCTATATTACTTAGAAACTATAATTTGATCTTAATTACAGCTAACTGTTACAATAAATCCATTTGTTACAGTCTTTCATATGATCCATGTAGCATATTACCAGAAGAAGCCCTACTACTCACTTTACCTATATTCAAGCTTTTTGTCATATATACTTGCTCATCGACTGACTTAGACCTGAGACATCTTTCATATCTCATCCTATTGAATATTCTTTTTACACTATCTATTATAGTATACCT